GTTTTCTGGACAGAGTTGTTTGAATGCTTTGACGGTGAACGATTTTGTAGAGAACAGTAATATTTTAGAAAAACAGTAATATTTTATTAAGGAAGTAGGTACATACGTGAAACGATGGTGTGGAATGGTATGGAACGAGCTCAAAAGAGAAGAAGCATTGGTAAAAAAAATAAGCACTTGCTCATTAATACTGTTAATGCAGTTCTTGGAGAGGAAAATCTCTTTAATTTTTTATCCTGTTCACTTTTTGTTCACACTAATAACCATAGGTCTACAAAACTAAACTTTTTGACAGATATTTTTATATTGAAAACTGATTTTATATAATTTTCGGAGGCTGATTTCAAAAATTCTATGCATTTATTCGTACCACATAAGGTTTATTTGCAAACTACGATATTTCGAAAATAATTTATTTTATATTCAGTAAAAAAGTGGAATCCCAGTTAACAAAATTTGCCTTAATGTTCTGGTGAAACCTCTCTCCCTGTTCTTCGCTACCTGGTCGATTTTCAGGAAAACAGTTCAAGTATGAAAGAAAAAATGCATTTTCAAATGCATATTACAACCTAGACCATGAAAGTGTTGTAAGATATTTTCAACAATACTTTCGTTGTTTTCGTCCCTAGAGTTCCCAAGAAACTTATCAATTACTTCATTAAATGAAACTCAAGATTTTTTCTCGACATTGGTCATTGTGTTTTGAAAATCCTTGTATTTGCATAAAGTCCTCGTGTACGGCCCAACAAAAATATCTTTTTTTTTATCTTGGTAACAGATATGGCTGTTAATTTCTCTCACAAATATTTGAAACACTGTCAATTTTTTTCGACGGCTTTAACAAACTGCTTCATCAAGCCAAGTTTGATATGCTATCCCTTAATACATTTTTTCTTCCAGAGGTAAAGCTTGCTCTAGAGGACAATTCTATTTGAGTCCAATGTCTATCTCATGCCTGACTATCCCGCTCACAAATAAAGCATGAACATTTTGTATAACCCCCTGTTACCCTAGAAGCATGCACAGCACTTTAAGGTCAACACAAAGCATCCACCGATGCACTTGGTAGTTTATTTTTTTCAAAAGAAGTCCTAAATTTTCATACGGTTCTTATATTAAAGTAAAAGTTTTATGTGACGTCAGGTTCCAGTAAATGCTTGTCTGGACGCATCCTTTGGAAGGTGCAAATCTCTAAATAAATCATTTAATTCGCTCTAAACTTCCGGCCTTGGGAAATCTGGTTTGAAATCTGGAGTCGTCTGGGTCGGAATAACATTGATCTGATTCTGAATATATGACGTTTTCCATTTTTTGGGGACGGTATTGATCATTTTTACACCAAAATAAGCGTGGTATACGTTTTTCACAAAAGAATTTACTACGACATAACTACCATAGATATAACAAAAGTTATTTGGACAGTTCACACAATGAGAGAGCGCATAGAGCGCAACAAAAAAATGATGCGATAGAGCAAATATATGGTGTTTTTTGGAAAATACAGAAATAAGGAAACAGCTTTCAAACATCAAAATCACTGTAGACTTGTGTAATTCTCTCCGCAAAAGACAGTACTCGGCTAATTTCAATTTGCTCTCTGAGAACTATGTTTATGTCATTTCAAGTTCAAGTCAAGTTCCGGGTAATTTTTTGAGCGAAAGGGTGGGTTTCTATTCAGACTTCAGGGAAATTTAAAATCTTAATACACTTTTTCTTGTATTCGTCGTTTTTACGATTAATTTGCTTAGACTATATCATGCAATATCTATTTTTTGTCAGCACGTTAAAAATTTCGAACATTTCAAACTGGAAACTCTACCAAAATAATTCGCAATAGTTTTCCGCGTGTTCCGATCGAACAATTTCCATCGGGCGACGTTCACCTGAAAAAATAAATAATCGGGCGGCGAATGATTGCGGTTCCCGACCGAAAAAAAGGCTGTTTCATTACGGGCGGCCATGTTTATCGTATCGTGTCCCGATCTCCGACCAACAAAAGGCGAGCTTTAATTCGATGCACTTTTGCATCATGCGAATTCGAAATTAACTTTGTCGGTTATTTTTGGTCCGTGTAATGGGAATCCGTTCGGCTTATCGTCAAAGCAAAACTTTTTAAAAATATTAAATTTTAGTCGGGCGTTTTTTTAATTACGCAAATTCCTGCAATACGCGTAGTTCGTCCAGGAACCACGCTTTTGATATCTATAGACAAACACTGTTAACTGGCAATGCAACTCGCTGATAAAGCTCGGGGCGTCTCGTAAGCGTAAGTCTAGGATTACAGACCGAAATCTACTCTCTTTGTGTGTCTGTAATGTAGTCTAGCTATTATGCGGTGTATCCGGTAGCATAGCTTACACAGCTTATCGCGCCATTCACGTATATACCTACCTAGTCTTGAGTTGGCATAAGAAAATGGCCTCCCGATGTTGTTTTTATATTTGCATTTCAATAGCGTCGAGATTGTTGTCTTAGCCAGCTAATGTGATTACTTTGAATCAGCATATTTTGTACAGAGTGAGATAGTGAGACTCTCGAATGTATTAAACTTAAATGATGGGCTAAAGCAAATATTTGCTTTAAAGTACTTTAAAGTTACATAAAAACATGGATATAGTTCGCTAGTCATCAAAAACCATGTGAGTTTTTCCTTCTCTTTCTTCACGCTTCACAAAAGCGTCTTCTGGATTTCCTGTTAGTTGGCTCAGTGTTTTGTGTGGCTTGTACGTTGTTCTGATGTTTTTTCGTTTTAGGATTCTTCCTATTTGAACAGTTTTACATATAGCAGGGTAGTGGAAGGTGGAGCTTGTCGTTCTTTAATTGAAGGGAAGCCAAAATCTAGGAGTCTATCTAATCCCTGCACAGACTGTCCAAAACATTACATAGGGCAACCAAATAGAAAAATATGGATTTTGGAGAAAGCAAAGAGATCACAAATATCACAAAATTGGAAATACCCACCCTGCAGTTTAGAAAATAGTATTAAACCCATCCCATTATCAAAACTACACCATTTTCTCTCTCCGCCAATAAGGAGTCCTGCGCAGCACTATCAAGACTAACCAATAGCGAAGTAGCACCGCTGGACTATAAAAGCGCCGCACTGAACACATCCATCTCAGTTTAAGTGCGGTTTAAGTAGACATGTACAAGCGAAGATGTCAGATAAGATTCTGGCGAAACGTCAGGGATCTAACAACGAACATATTTCTTATTTATTAATATTTATTACGGTTTAACAAAATACACATATATTTGTTTCGCTATAATGGGGCGAAATAATAGTTTTATAGACACTACAGAAAAAAAGTCTTTTTGCCCGATTTTCTACAAAGATGACTTGAAAAATTTGTTTGTGAGTTTAGAACGACACATTCAGTGTGTAAAAATGTTGATAGTCCCGAGCTGCGAAATGTTTTTCAGTGTCCCGCTGACTCTATTACCATAGACTTTGCTTTTGACCAATCTAATTTTAATCAATTTCGACATACCCAATATAAAATTTTCTACATAAACTTCCACAGGCTACTGTAATACAACTTACAAATCTTCTGGATTCCTCCTTAGTCACTATTTAAAACATCTACTATCAATCATCATCAGATACACATACTAGAATATCTACAGTACTACTTTTGTTGCTTCTTCTCACTTGTGGAGACTTATTCTTGACTAGCAACATTGTTTACTATCCGATAATGTTGATTAACTAATTTAAATAAAATGTCAGCAGTGTCACTGATCTCCAAAGGTTGACGTGGAACATTACCAAGGGAGTCTGTTTCTCTTTCAAGAAAGGAAAGTGGTTTATTTACGTGGCCGTCATCACAGCAAACATAGCGAAATAAAAGTAAAAATGAATAAGGGAGAGTTTGGGAGATCTCACATGTGAAAGTCAATGAAAAAAGTCATTACGGGAAAACTAATTAATAAATTTCCAAGTTGTTATGAACTTTATGTAAAAATAAGGGCCATTGTAATTTTTCATTTGATTTTTTTTAGCTTTGCCTTTCTTAGGCGACTTTGGTGCCAATCACCCTTTAGCAGTTCTCCATAAAAAAAACTATAATACCACAAAAGTTACATAGTTTCCACCCTACCTGTTTACATTCACAGCGCCTCCACCGATTAACAAATTATCAATGGTGCCCGAAACAATCGGGTTGATGGTAGTTTCAACTAACCAAAACAAATCATAGGTATGTATTTGTTTCGGAAAAGCTTTGAATGCGAATTTGAAGATCAAATATAAAAAATACCAGAACACTAAAAAAACTATCGCATATACATAAATTCAAATTTTCTAGAAAAACCTGCCATTTACACCAAAGTAGCAGAATTAATTCAAACATTCACCCATGGTTCTGGAATTGCAAACTCTTTTATATAATATAGAGTAGATGAATACTTAGAGCTGCAGAAGCAAACAAACAATCTGTATTATAACTTTGAGTTTATTTTTTTTATAATCTGCTGTCTTAGCAATTGTTGTATTGTTCTTTTTCTCTTCACCAGATTTTTGTTTTGAGAATTTAACTACATATTAGAAGACCTAATATTTGGGAACAGAGGAAATTATAAACTTGCGTTTTTTGTGATAAGATGCAGATAATGGAGTTGACGGATATCGATGAAACGGATAAATAAATAATTTTAATACTCTAATTAGTGTATTCAAAAGCGTAGCTTTAATACATAATGGATATTGTAGACCCTTATAGCTTATCAGATTACCTTGGCATTAGCTGAGCGCACCTCCTAGCATTATCTACTCCCCTTTATGGATCCAGCGTGTCATACGACGTCATCTCGTGTGAAATTCCCTCAACACACCACCCGGTTTCCCGATGATCCCGAAAGTTTTCCTGCAACTGCAATCGCGGCCCGACCAATCGGATTCGATTTTAGGTGGGCCTGCGCACTGTTGTCAAACGCACGTTAGGACCCTAACGGCCGCGTCGGGACGGCCGACGCCGAGCGCCGTCAGTCGACATGCAGCTGGAAGCTGACGCGCACCTTTATGGCGTCAGCGCGTAATCAGGATGTCTTCGCCGTGTTTACGTTCGCGATTTTTTCTTTAGTGATAACCGCCAGAACTTTGGGTGAGTACTTGCAGATTGATGCCAGAATTGTCACCAAATTTTAGTAAATGTCAAATTTTGACAGGTCTACGTTTTTTTAATGGGACAACATGTTTATTTCTTCAAATGTTAACAGTTTTTATAAATTGAAAATTACATTAAATCCGTTTAAATTATTCTCTGTCTTTGCTACGTAATTAATTTCACAGATTATAAAAATAGATATTTTTTAAAGTTGAATATTTTTTTCGAAAAACATTTGGCTATGTTACCAATGTAAAACGAGATACTTAAACATTTGAAATGATATACGATGTATTCGTTAAAAAAATAAATCTGTCAAAATTTGACATTTATTAAACTTTTTTAATATTTTTGATACAAAATTGTTATAAACGGTCGTATGGATGACCCTGTAAGTTGGACATTTGTGTAAATTTAGGGAGAAAAAAAAATTACTTATATTTCATTTTTAAAATTTTTTTGGTACGGTAAAAGGTAAATAAGTTAAGTTGATAAGTTATGTTGGTTACCCTCTAAAAATCCGAATATAAAAGAGAAACCATAAAAAAATGGAAGAAATTTGAAACGTTTTTTTTTCTAGTTAGTTTCTGTTCTATCGAGTGCTAGGCTGACAAAACTTCACCAGTTTTTAACATTTTGTGCAACAGAAATAATGAAATAACTCAATCACAAGGTCCCGAGTTTAACATTTACATCTTTTATGGCTGTTTATATATTTAACTATAGGTGCTAAAATCAACACTATATCAGCATAATATGAGCATGAAAACCGAAATTCCTATGACGCCACTTGGAACAATTTTGTTGTGATGTGGATTATCAAAACAAGAAACCTTGAGTGTTTGGACCATTTAGCTATTAGATAATATAGTGGCCGCACTACGGTAAAAATGGATGCACCTCAGGTGGCTGTGATATTTTAGGAGAGACTGAAATGAACTTCCGCGCATGCCACCACATTTCTGCCGTTATCCGCATTTTGCGCCGTTTTTTTTCTAAACAGCGATATCCACACACTTAACTCCTTTTACCTGATTATTTAATCAAATGTGGACATATTTTGAGAAAATACCGCATCCAAACTTCTCAAAGCATTTTTCATAGTTGGTTCAGAAGTTATCTTATCTGAATTAGACAGGGTCGCTATAAGGCTATATTACACATCGAAACGTCTTGGAGAGAAATATGTTCTGACACTCTTGGATTATTCAAAAGCTTTTGATACGCTCAATCATTCTTTACCAACCGCAGTTTTACATTACAAAGGTTTTTCTGTAATCACAACACAACTTTCTAGTCATCTCAGTAGGATTCAAGCAATTCAAATTTTCTTCTTTTTTATATCCCAATAAAGGCGTTCTATAGGGATCTATGATAGGCAAGATCCTTTTCTCTATATATATATTTCAAATTTTCAGTAATGTCTTTCATGTTTAAGTCAATATTATGCTGTTGACACACAAATGTAATTATCATTTTATCCACGGCTGGTAACTATTATTCACGATTTGTATAAAATTCAGAACATTTCGGAGAAACACTACCAGTAACTGAACGCTGACAAGTCCGTTTTTACATTGTTTGGTCGTAAGAATGACAAAAGTTGCGTTCTACTTCAATTTTTATTAATGACAAAGTAGTTCAGTATCACGACACTGTAAAAAAATAGGTGTACTGTTGGAGAGTGATTTGCAGGCTTCAAATCAAATCAAAAAGCTTGCTTCAATTTAAAGATCATTTACAAAAACAAGGATTACTTAAATAGAAAAAAAAAGTATTGTTGTGTGAGTCATTAGTTTTTTCACAACTAAATTTCTGTCAGGTTATCTTTCATCCAAATTTAAGTCACATTGATATATTTCGTATTCAGAAGTTACAAAACTGCTGTTTGAGGCTGATATTCGGTGTAAGAAAATTTGAATGTATAAGTCACACTTTCCAAATGGTGGCTCAACATATAAAATCACTCCGTTTGCTTATTTTAAAAGATTTTACTCCTGGTTACTTATATAAAAAATAAAATTTAGAAATGCCGTGCACACTATAAATATTAGGTATAAGGGGGACACTCACACCACGACTTCACCCGACTGAGCTTTACAAACGGTGATTTTCTTATGTATTAACCAAATTTCTTAATGAATTACCAAGTAAATTAAATGCAATAACTTGATCAAAAACTAATAAACCACTTTTTTTATATTTTTATGAAAAACAGTGTTCGCTAGTTAATTATGGATAAAAATATGTATAAGTACAAATAAACGATATTACTTTTTACAAAACTTCTGGATTCCTCCTGCGTCGATTTTTGCTGAATCGCACTGAACGAGTCGAACATCCTGTTGGCTTCTTCAGAGCCTGACTGAAACTGGCTCGCATTTTACTCTGTACCTGCTTATATATTGTTTGAGAGGGGCGGAGCTAAATGAGGGGCATAAACACCGTCTCGGATCACTGACACCCATATTGGTGGCAGGTAAAGGACCTGAGTCGCGGTTAGAATTGTTAGGTTGTTAATAGATTTCTATAGATATATATATATATATATATATATATATATATATATATATATATATATATATATATATATATATATATATATATATATATATATATATATATATATATATATATATATATATATATATATATATATATATATATATATATATATATATTGAAATAAACCTATTACCATACTATCCACACCTATCATTCATTCAAGGTAATTGCTGCACAAATAATGTGGTATAGTCAACCGTCTATTTTCTCATGCAAAAAAACGTTAAATGTTTTTCTTTTTTCGATATCATCTAAGGCTGACCATGACATATGTAAGTTGTTCTTTCGCCATTACATGTTTCTCCTTCAATACCTCTGCGGTCGACGATTTTATAAGTTGAAGGATTTTGTATCGGTTAAGGACATGGCCAGGCACCATATTTGCTTGTCCCTTGTCCAGGGTATTTGAAGCATTCTGTTGTGCTGCTTTAAAAAAATTCTTCAATTACTCACGATATATCAAAAGGCACTTTCAAAAATTGAAAAATATTACCAATATTTTTGTTGTTAAAATTTTTGGAATATGTCTTACTCAAAGTTATTTTAATTTTTATTAATGAAAAACAGAACATACTGGTGTTTCCAATGAAATTTTTTTGATATTATGAGTTATTCTATCATTTCTCCTACGGCATCAGGAAGTTCGATAGAATCAGTTTCAAAATTTCCGAGTCGGGAGATTGGAGCTGAACCTCTGACAAAATTGTCACCACCTACGCTTTACTCACAACGTTTTGACTTCGGAGGGGCAAATATACTTATACCAGAAATTGGCCAGAATTAAGAATATCATTTCTTATCATATCCTGTTGATAATCCCGCGCCAGCTCTGCAACGATTGCTTATGTAGTATATATTGATATAAATTGTCAGTGAACTATAATAACTACATAATGAAAACTTTTAAAAAGAGACTCAACAATCAGTGGTTATCTGAGAGTAACATTCAATAACTATATAACATCCGTGTGTTTCGTTAGGATTGTGGATATAGTTTAGTCTAAATTATAGTTGTTTCGGTTGGGATAAGCTTCGGAACGTGTATTTTTGTTACTCCTTGAGCCTCCGTGCCCAGGTGGGAGCCTTTAGATATCAAAAGTACGCCATTCTAATTAAGCAAAGAAATTATCGACACCTAGCCAAAGAATAGGTACTTCGTTTCGCTATTCATGCAGAGGTTAGCGCAAAATGCCAACGAGAAACATGAAAAGTGCTGATAACGTGATGACGTGGCGAAAGCGGAACGAATTGATGATCGCTAGCGTAGCGCTACGTATCGCTTCGCCTACGGCGTAGACATTTTGGCGTATTTCCGCCAATACTAGTTTTCCGCTCCGACGTTCGTCAAATCAATTTCGAATTAAAATGTTGTACTTCCGGGAGCTTTAATTTATTTCGCGAAATAAAATCCCTCGAACGGAGAAAAGAAAAATATTGAAGTCGGGACCAGTTTCGCTGATATATTAAATTTACGTCGTAAGCAATTTAATTTCTTTTGAAGGATTTTCCGCGAGGGCTTATTAAAACTCCCTAAGATTTTCCGCTGTTCCGGAGGGAGATTAAAGCGATAGAAAAAGTCGTAAACTGCGACCATTTTAATAGCTTCCGCCGACGTATTTAATACTTTCCATGGTGGTTGACGTTTCAGTGATTAAGTTATGGTTATGTAGGATTAGGTCGAAGATATTTTAATATTTTTAACCAACTAAGTAAGTGTATTTTAGAGGTGCAGGGTTTAGCTTGACAGCGCAAAGTTCAGACTTGGAATAATTACATCTTACGTCGTCAATAATTGTTAAATAAATAGGGATTGCTAGTTATTTTCATTATTGTTTCATTGTTGTTGGAACTGTTTAAACGAAATGAGCAGCACACTTAAATTAACGAATTGTATAAACAATATAAATTGAAAAGACACAAAAACAGAAAATCAACCATGCGCTTCGTTCACGCCGTCGTCTCTTCTTCTTTTTTTGTGTCCTACCTGCCTCATCGGTCGGGCCGCCAGCCCATCGGTCTTTCACTCTGAGCGCCATTTCTAGTTCCAAAATTATTTTACATACATTTTCGAGGAGGCCCGTATTTTAAAAAGCTAAAGGTTTATTGGGCTATTCTCTTTTAAAATTTGACCACACTACTTCAGGATGAAAAAAAAAAACACACTGCCATCATGCGAGGCTTGTCGTCCAAGACTATTTTGGCCATACATGTTTTAAAGTATTTTTATTTTTGTTATTTGTTCATAAAGATTCAAACCGAAGAAGACTTTGGTGAACAATTAATTACATGTGAACGTCATTTAATTTTTCATATTTTCTCGCCTCTTTTAGAAATAAATTTATAGTAATATGTTTTTACTAATCCTTACTCTATTATTGCTGTTTTGCAAATAATGTACCCAAAAAACTAACAGTCGTAGAAAAAGTATAGTA